GAGAACGATCCCAAACGTTTCATAGCACTTTTTAAGAAAGACACTTGATTTAAGCCAGGGGTTGGTTTTCAAGGTGAAGGAGCAGGGACAACTCCCCTGTACTTGGAGAGACAGAGCCAAGGATAGAGGGACCAACAGACGGAGGGCCTCACAAGAAGCATTCACCCAGGAAGGTGAGCTAATTAATCTACACGGCATCCCCACTACGCGCTGGGGGAGCGGAGGACTAGGCGGGCTGCGCAGTCCTCTGCCCAGAGAGACATCACCAGGGACCGTACGACTGCAAATCAGCCCTTGCAACAGTCCACAACTTACCCTTGGGAGTAAATCGCGGCAGTGCTGGACTAGGACCTGATATGATTTCCCACTTATGGCAAAATGGTAACCACCGCATCCAGCTTTGGATGTGACCCCTCTTTCGATGCAACTGTCAGTCTCCTGTAAATCGGGACAAAGTTATCTCCATGCGAGGGGCTGCCTCTGCACTGGTGTGTGCAGGTGCTGCACTGCATAGAGGGGAAAGGCAGGGCTCAAAACTGGGGCCTTTGTAGCGTCAGCCCCAGCCTGTGCTCTCCCCCAGACTGCCTGCATGATCTCAGGCAAGGCACTGCAGCTGGATTTTAAAGGGTTTTTTCAAATGTTTCACTCCCATCTAATCTGCACCTAAATTAGTGGGAGTTAGGCACCTAAATATCTCTAAGAGCTGGCATTTTGTTTCTCCGCGTCTCAATCTCCCTGTCTGTAAAATGGGTACAACAGTTCCAGGAACAGGTATAAGGATGATGCAGGCCTTTTAAGCACTGTACATAAATGTTTGTCTCTTATCAGGCTTCGTCTCTCATCTCAGGCACTGTCTGACGCCTCCCCCACGGTGTGGGAAATGCTGCTCAAGTTGGACTAGGGGGAGGTGGGAGCCCAAAGATGCCAAGGCCCCTCCTGCCATTTCCTCACACCCCTCATCTCTGCCCAGTGGCCCAACTCCCACAGCGAGAGGTCGGCGCCGTAGATTGTCATTAATTCAGTCTGACGCCCGCCCTTGGCAGGGGAAGGGACAGACTCGTAGGCTCGTGCCCCAGTTTTGCTGGTAGAAGTTTAATTAATATAATTTCTTAACGCCACTGACCCACGCTCACTGGGCAGAGCACATCATTGTAGTGTAGTTTGAACCTCTGTTTCAATTCATTGCTTGTCCGTGACTCTGCCCGGCCCTGGGACCTCCTCCATCCCCTGCTAGTCCTCCAAGGCTGTTTGTAAGCCCCTACACATGGGCACATCTACACATGCACATTTACTGCACAGTAACCTAAATTACTGCGCAGCAACTGAAAACTACTGCGCAGCACAGGCACGTGTCTACATGTGCATGCCCATACTGTGCAGTAACTATGGCAACTTACACCGGCTTGGGCGTAAATTTGATCAAATTTATGCCCAATTAGTTACTGCGCAGTAATGCTTGTGTAGATGCCTTACTGTGCAGTAACACTGTGTGTATGGACTGACTTGGGACTAACTTTAGTCTCAAGTCAGACCACACACAGTGTTAATGCGCTTTAATACCTCCATGTGTAGGCACTGGCCTATTTCCACATACCGTGCAGCAAATTTACTGTGATGTAAACGCACGTGTAGACGCACCCAGCCTGCATTAGGGAACAGACTGTGCAGAGCAATCACTGGGAAACGGGCTTCCACTAATACGAGGGGGTGCTCGGTGTGGACTGGGCCAAACCTTTAATGTGGCTTTTGTCAACCATTCTTGAGGCCAGTCTAGAGGGGTTTGAAAACCAGCATTGACACTGCGCAGCCTCCTTCACCCCTGGCAACACCACCCCACCGCAGCATGCTGTGTGAAAGACCCCTCTCTTGTTAAACACTTTCTGACCACAGGACAATCTCAGATCTCAGCTCTTCCACAATCCTCCATTGAGCTATGCCAGCACCGCTTGGATCTGAACTTGGTCCGACTGCCTGTGCACAGTTTGTTCTCCCATCACACGAGACGTGCTCATCTCACACTCACCAGGCCTTTGCTGCCATTCAGGTGGCTCCCCTCCATCAGCTTCCAGGTGACAGAGGCCGCAGGGGTACCTGGCAGTTCCTTTGCTTCCACAAGAATCACTTGGCTGGTTGGAGAAATCATGCTGGCATTTTTGGCAACAGTCACTGCTGTCTGAATGTTGTCACCTGGAAAATCATGAGGGTGTCACCTGCAGCGTGACACAAATCTTTCCCCAGCTCCTGCAGGCTCTAGTTAGCAGAGAGATTGTGCATCTCCATGGAGTGACCGCTGCCTTGCACACATCGTCCTCGGGATACCACAGAGCGCTATGATCTCAGTCCTTTTGCTCACTGCCAAGATGCAGCCATCTCTGGGGTGGAACATGGCAGCTACTTAACAGCCCAAAGAAACAGAATTTGTGGACGTAGTTTTGGATGTCAATCAAGGCTTTGCTAGGCCTGCTCTGTGATTAAATGTGTGCCATTTTATCTGATCTGGACTGAACTCAGCTGCTGGAGTCTGTGTCCGAAGGAGGCACTAAGAATAAACAAGGGATTAAACATTGTCTTGTTGCTGCAGCAGCAAGGGCAGACTGGAGACCAGCCCTCCTCAGTGATCTGGGCAGGGCCCTGGCATGGGCTGAGGACCAAAACGGGGCAAAAGCAAAGATGGTGAGAGCCAGATCAACTCTGCAGGCAGCCAGGATGGGAAAGCTCACCCCTGCTTTCTCCCTCACTCTCCAAAGCATCCCCGCCAGTGTTGCTGTTGGCAGGAGTGGTGTGAAGGAGAAATATCAGCTGAAAAGGGAGTGAGCTGGCAGGGTAGAAGGACCCTGAAATGACAGCAAGAGGCCAAGCAGTGGAAAGCAGAGGGAGGTCAGGAGGCTAAGTCAGTCCAGCTGCAGGTCTCTGGAGAAACAGGGCGGACGATGAACCATGGATCCAAAGAGGCTGGTGCAACTGGGAGACCCACCCCCGTGGCTCCGGCAGGAGTCACATCTGGCACGTGGCCGTGTCCTGAGATTTCCTGGACTGGGTAAGACAAACCCACGCCAGTGATGGGCACTCATGATGAACCCACGTATCTGGTCTCTGTCGCTCCTTCCCAGCAGCATCAGCAAGATCCTCCTCCCTTAGATACCTGTGACCATCACGCTCCTGATGCGAGCGGCACTGAGCTCCTCCAGCACAGGCTTGGTCTCTCTCTTCAGGCGATTCTCCATGATCAGAAGGCCCAGGAACGCCAGGCCGGACTCCACGTCCTCCCTGAGGAAGGAACAGACCCGTCTCATTAGCTTTTTCTGGACTCTTGGGTCTCTTTGGACATTGATTCAGGCTATTAGCAAGCCAGATAGCTAATTAACCCTTTGGACACCTGCTGTATGCTGTAAGCAATTATAATTGGTGCAATTATAACTGGTGCATAAATGCTGTATGCAATTACTATTGATACTTCTATCCCCTCGCCCCCCGGGGGTTCTGCATGTCACTGATAGGGGCTGATAGGCGTGCTCTGCAAGCAGCCCCGCTTGCTTTTCCTCCTCTTCTCGGTCCTCTCCGTATTGTATGCACTGATCTCAGCACTGGGCGACTGCCTGGGGTGGTTGCTGTGCTCTGTTTGTCTCGGGAGCACAACACAGAGCAGCTGTTCTCTGCTTGCTTCTACTCTGAAAGCAGCTCTGGCATCACGGGAGCTTCATGTGTGCTTCTCCATGACCCCAGGTCCAGTCTGTGTAAAGTCGTGAGCAGTAAAGAGCTAGGCCAGAACAAGACTGTATTGCAAACCATGCTGCACTCTCTGCAGGGATGCCCACAAGGCAGGATAGCGAAAATGCCCAGTGCCTCTGTGGTGAAGCAAATGTATCCCACTGGGGGTTGATTAGGACAGTGGGGTGGTACCTGGGGCTTGTGCACAAAGAGGCGGCACTGAGTGGGGTAGAAAGGGCTGGAGAGAAACCCCCAGTTGGGAAACCCAAGGGGGCGGCCTGGCTGGAAGAGCAGGGAGGGAGGATGTAGACCTGAGGGCCAACCCTGGGAGGACAGAGGATGCTGGCACAGGGCCCTCTCTTCCTAAGGCAGTGGCTCTACCTGTTCACACCGGAGGCACCCTTGATAGATTGCAGACTCCCCTCCATAGGTTCACGGCCCCCTTGGAAAATGCCAGCTCATAATTTCCACTCCTTTTTTGGACTACAGAAAAATATGAGAGCAATTCCTCTGTTGCAAAGAGCTTAGAAAGCCCACAGCAGGGCAGAATGCTTTTAACTCTCTGGATTCCTATTTGAAACTGCTGGGTTTCTCTCATGCATCACACTTGCACACCTAGCAATGCTCACACTTGAAAGACTCTCAAGGCACCCCAGAGTGCCACGACCCCCTGGTTGATCCAAGGGCCGTCTTTGGGGGTCCTTAAGGACCAGGTACATGGTGGAGGTGTGTACATGGCCCACCAAGACTGGATGCTGTAGGACCTGCATCCTCACATCACTCCCTGCACATGACAGCAGTCCCACACACGGCCTGAGCGCGTGGCAGGCGAGCAGGAGAGTGGTTGCCCCTTACCGTATCAGATGAGCTGGCTGGTTCCCTGCCTGCAGGACTCTATGCGCCAGTCCGATGACCCTGAAGCCCTGGGCAGTGTAGAGCTGCAGCTCGCTGGCAAACTGCAATGGCACTGTACAGACAAGAACAGTGTCCTGTCAAAGGCAATTGGGAGACACGGAGGGAGCAGTGTGGTCTGGAGCAGGTGCCTTTGAACAGGAAAAGCATCCAGGCCCAGCGGGGAGGGGGTGTGGATCTACAGAGAGATGGGCCCAGGTGGTTTGGGACCAGCTCACTGCCTAGGACTGGGCTTGCAGGGGACAGTTGTTTTTTGTTCTTGATCTGTGGTTCTCGCTTTGCAGTTCTCGCCTTGCTTTATTACAATTCATCATAGACTCATAGGAAAGGAAAGCAGGGAGTCATCTAGTACGGCCTGCTGCTGCAGGCAGGATTGTCCCTGACTCCACCGGCCCAGCCAAGTGTCTGTCCATCCTGCTCTTGAAAACTTCCAGGGATGGAGATTCAACAGCTTCCCCCAGCAGCCTGTCCCAATGCTTGACCCCCTTCAATCGGAACATCCCTTCTCATCTCCAAGTTCAATTTCTCTTGCTGCAATTTAAGACCACTGCTCTTTGTTCTGCACCCTGCAGCCACAGAGAAAAATGTCTTCGTCCTCTCTGTAATTGCCCTTCAAGTGTTTGAAGACTGTCATCAAATCCCCCCTCCGTTTTCTCTTTTCCAGACTAAATCACCTGAGTTCTTTCAGCCTTTCCTTGTAAGTCATGTCTCCCAGGCATCTCATCCTTTTTGTTGCTCTCTACTGGACTCTTTCTAATTTGTCCGTGTCTGTCTTGAAGTGCAGGTCCCAAAATTGAGTACAGTACTTCAGGGGAGGCCTCACCAGTGCTGAAGAGAGCAGAAGAATGCCTCCCCTTGATTTGCAAGGGACACTATAAATACAGCCCAGGTTGCTATTAGCTTCTTTTGGCAGGAAGAGCTCTCTGTTGGCTCATATTCAGCTTACAGTCCACTATCACTCCCCAGTCCTTTTCTGCAGCACTGCAGCCTCAGCAGTCTGGATTTGTGCATGTGATTGTTCCATCCTAAGTGCAGGACATGAGACTTAATAAAGCCCTTGGACATCTGCTGGGGGAGGTGTGCTATTCTAGCCACTTTACAGATGTGTAAACTGAGGCACACAGAAACAGAACGATCTTCTCTGCGCTGACGCAGCGAGTCTGTAGGTGTCTGGCATACAACCCAGACTGCTGTGGTGCAACTTGAACAGCTGCTCCCCTGACCACTCATATTGGTCAGGAGTAAAGAAACCAGAATCATGGTACTTGGCTGCTGTGGGTCTACTCTTCCTGACGTGCACCTGTCTAAAGGAGACCGCGCTTTCCTTTGTACTTGCCTCTCACCCCTCACAAACCTCTGGCTGGCTGAAAACCAATAGGCAAGACCCAGTTAGATCTCCCTTGTATGTCCGCCTGAGTGAGCTGCTGTTGAACAAGAGAAAGGCTGTGACCTCTGTCAGTCCAGACAGCAGGAGTCTGAAGTCAGAAATCAAACCCAGGTCTCTGATGTCTTCACAGTCAAGGAGTCACCTTTGAGCTCAGCAGCCATGCCTACACGTGCATTTACACTGGCTTAAATTTACTGCGCAGTAAGTGGGACTAGGCCGGCATCTACACGTGAAGGCATTAAAGCACATTAATGCTGTGTGTGGACAGACTTGGAACTAAAGTTAGTCCCAAGTCAGTCCACACACACAGTGTTACTGCGCGGTAAGGCATCTACACGTGCGTTACTGCGCAGTAACTAATCAGGTGTAAATTTGATACCTGCATGGTGCAGGTATCAAATTTATGCTGAAGCTGGTGTAAGTTACTGCACAGTATAGGTGTGCACGTGTAGACACATGCCCATACTGCGCAGTCATTTTGGTTACTGTGCAGTAAATGCACATGTGTAGATGTGCCCAGTTTGGACTGAGCCTTCACATACCTGTTTCTGGTCTACAAAACTCAGCCACCGTCTCCGGCGCTCCCTTCATGAACACATGCCGCGCCCCTCCGATTTCCTGAGCAATGACTGACATCCTCTGCAGGGCTGAAGTAAATGGGAAGTGGTGCGAGATGGCCATGCCTCGCACAGGAACCTAGGAGGGAAGGGCAGCCATGATGTGCCTGGACCGTGGCGTGGTGGGTGGGCTGACCTGAAGCATGCCCTTTTTGCTTGTGGGCATAGGGCTGGGTCACAGCAAGGGTGTTAGTGCAAAGAGCGGGAGAGGAAGGACTTGGCATGGTGGCCTGGGCACAGCTAGGAGCTGAAACCCAGACAACAACTGTGGAGGCAACATCATGTGGAGGAAAATCTTACCAACCCTGAGCTCTGGGGTACATACATCATTAAATGTATAGGCAAATGGGTCTGTTGTACCAGGAGGAGCTGCCCGGCAAGTGCTTGCAGACTGGCTCCATTATCATTACCCTGCTTTATCTGTCTGTGTCCGTCTGCTGCCTCTTGCCTTGCAGCTAGAGCGGTGGTTTTCAATCGGTGGTCTGCGGAGCCCTGGGGGTCTGCAGACTATGTCTAAGGGGACCAGGAAAGATGACTAGGATCAATCAAAAGTTTGTGAACACCTGCACTTCCAATTCAAAGGGGTCTGCACCTCCATTAGAAATTTCAAAGGGGTCCGCAAAGGAAAAAAGGTTGAAAACCACTGGGAAGCAATGCCCTTTGTTCTGTCTGTACAGCACCTGGCGCTGTGGAGTCACAGCCCAGGCCTAGATGCCGTGTGTGCATTAGTAATGCCATTTGCTAAGTCAGGGGTGGCCCAGCTGCTGCACAAGTGACGTGGGCAGCCCCTGTCTGTGGCAAGCGAGAGACTGGGCTGGAAGCAGTGAGCACAATGGCAGACAGGGCATGGAGCAGAAAGCAGAGCCGCAGAGCAGGCAGCAGAAGGGGGTCAGAGTGGTACTTAGGGAGGATGCGGGGCTTAATTTGTGGCACACCTGGCAGTAAGGTTGGCCCCGTGGCTTACGCTATGGACACAGCAGACTGAAACACCACGCAGCGCCGCGTGCGATGCACAGAGCTCTGATGTAATACTGCAGGTCGGAGCGTGAGCCCTCGGCCCACGGACGAGCTGTCCCTCGCGCTCGCCGAGCCTCTGACTGTGAGGCTGCGGAGGCCTCGCAGCCCGGCCCTTTGCAAAGTGATCAGGCCAAGAGAGGAGCCAGAAATGGATCTGGAGAAATGATGCGTGTCTGACAGTCCCTTACCTGGCCGGCTTTGGGTCCAGGCTTGATCATCGTGGTGTGCACAGATCCCCCGCCCGCCGCGTGACCTCCACCAGACTCTTCTATCTCCTGTTCACGTAAAGAGCACCATTTGCACTGCAGGCTTCACGGTAACTTCCATGTACAGCAATTAAAGATGCCCAAGCGAACAATGTACCTCAACCTAGCGGGGACAACACACTGCAGCCTGGCAGGGGCACCGGTTTTCCTACTTGCAGGCCCAAGCCCAGAGGCTGGGGTTCGGATGCCCCCAGGTTTTGCTTGCCCTCGGCCACATGACCGCAGGAGCAAGCTAGGGAGGAGTCTCCCCCTTCCATAAAGCCGAGGCCTTCCCACTCCAGCAGCTAAGTGGGAGGTTTACTATACGTTACCGTGGCAGGGACTATCCCCGTGCCAGGACAGCGGTCTTCCCCAGGTGCGACTAGGAAGACCGCCTCGGTGGTCACGGTGTTTCCCAACATCCCCCATCCTGGCAGGTGCAGAGTTTGAGGTTTACAAGCAGGACAAAAAGGCAGGAGTCTTCTTTGTGTGTTAACAGAGCATGGCTCCCCTGGAGAACTGAGGACTATTGCTTCGCGCATGTGCACTGGGTTTCATCCAGCAACTTCAAACGAACCTCACCAGGCTCCTGGCGGAGCGTAAATATTATTGCAGGTGTCACCAGCCAGACCACCAAGCCCTGCTCACGCTTTCAGCAGCTGCCTCGGCCTGAGGCACTCAGCTGCCATTTCAGGATTTTTAATCAGAGCTTGCCAAAATGACCCGGCTCTTCTCGGAGATGACAGGAGCGACCCGTGCGCTGTTTTGCCCAATTCGTGAGGCGGCCACACGGTGCTCTTTGAAGTCCTAGAGCTGCCGGGGCTTTGCAGCATGGACTCAGTGCTGGGCCTGGCTCCAGCTTGGTGCAAGGGATGTGGCTGTCCCTCTTCCTCTGAAATAGTGCCCAAACTGAGTCAAGTGCGTGAGCCTCTAGGAAGCTGCAGTTTGTACGTGTCCAGGAAAACATCTGGCTGGAGTTTGGCTTCTCAGGTCTCTCCGTGAGGTTTCATAGTTTCATAGTTTTAGGGTCGGAAGGGACCTAATAGATCTTCCAGCCCGACCCCCCGCCAGGGCGGGAGAACAACAAAAAACCCTAAAAACAAAAACGGGACTCAAATGAGTCCAGCCAGGTAGGCATCCAGCCTCTTCTTAAAGACCCCCAGGGTAGGGGCCAGCACCACCTCCCTTGGAAGTTGGTTCCAGCTCCTAGCCGCCCTAACTGTGAAGTAGTTTTTTCGGATGTCCAATCTGTACCTCCTCTCCATCAACTTGTGCCCATTACTCCTTGTTATGCCAGCGGGGGCTAGGGGAAACAGCGTCTCCCCCAAACCCTTCTGGTTCCCCCTAGTGAGTTTATAGACGGTCACCAGGTCCCCCCTCAGCCTTCTCTTGTGGAGGCTGAATAGGTTCAGGTCCCGCAGTCTCTCACTGTAGGGTCTGCCCTGTTGTCCCCGGATCATGGATCCGGGGACAACAGGATCCTCTCCATGTTGTCCACATCCCTCCTGAAATGGGGCGCACAGAACTGGACACAATACTCCAGCTGCGGCCTGACCCGCGTCGCATAGAGGGGGAGGATCACCTCCCTGGCTCTACTCGAGATGCACCTGTGGATGCACGACAAGGTCCGGTTAGCCCTGCCAACCATGACCTCGCATTGGTCGGCCCATGTTCATCTTGGAGTCAATAATGGTTGCTCCTGCATGTGGCTGGACTAGGTGTGCCCTGTCTCCTTAGAGTGACTGCACCAGCTGCACCCGCTGCAGGGGACACGCTGAGCTCTACCTGCAGCTGCTGGGCACCGGGCACCGGGCAGGCTGCTTCTCCTGCGCTCACTGCTCTCCAGCTGGTGCCAGGGTGCAAGCGGGAGGAGGAAGCCATCTAACCTCGGGCTAGGACTCGTTTGGGGTGGAGGTGTCTCGGGACACAGCTGCAACCCCCAAATCCCAGACCTGAGCAGATCTGCCAGGCACCAGACGGGGTCTGAGAGCACACCCCGCCGGGGCCCTGCCCCTCACTAAACGCTGCTGTGGCTGCTGGAAGAGGAGGTGAGCCCAGCTTTCCTCCAGCCTCCTGGCAGCTCGGGCACTGTCTCAGGATGTGGAAGAACTGGATCAAACCCACATCTCCCCCTGCCCAGGACTGACAGCGCTTTGCTGCTAGGCTGGGTTGGGGGGCATCCTCCACCCGTTTTGCACTGGAAGGAGTGAGGACAGCAACTTGGTCCAGGTTTCTGGATTCACGTGGCTGGACAGGGAGAGCGCAGGCAGGAGCACATGGGGAGAGCGCCGAGCTGGTTGGGGGTCCGTTCCCAAGACTGTTTATATGTCCTACATCAGACCATCCCTGGACAAAAAACAGATGCACGCCTGGGAGCACAGTCCTCAACTGGAAGTCTACCTGCGACTGGCACGACATGCTCAGTAGACTAGAAAGAAACAGGCAATAACATTCCCAGAAGAGGTTTCTTCCTCATTCCCATAATGAATGATTGGTTTATGCTCCAGAGCTTGGAGGTTTATATTCCACATAAGCTGCAAACCAGGTCCGCCGAGAGGAGAGTCTGACCCACCAGTCGGCTAGTCCTCGTTTGCAATCTTGGCATCGGTGACGTCCTGCAGCAGCGGGTTCCTGGCATTATGTGGACGGGGGTTATTAAATATGTAATGTTTCGATGTCGCTGCCCACCTCCCTGCTCTTGGGCTATGGAGAAGGCTGCAAGGTGCACGGTTGTGTCGATGTCGTTTGACCCCAGCGCTGTTTCCTGCCAGGGCAGGGGTCGGACTTGATGATCTGCTCAGGTCCCTTCCGACCTCACTGACGATGAAACTATGATGTAGCCAGGATTCAAGTTGCTGTCCTCTGCTCTGTGCCCATGTTCAAAATCCAGCGCTGAAGTCCTGCAATCTGTCTCCTCAGCGAAACACAAAGAAGCAGAGCTGGATTCTTAATTACGTGGCTGGCTGACGAGGAGGAAGGGTAACTGGGTGGGTGAAATGGCTTTGGTCTATACCCCCGGGTATATGCGTGCAATTGGGAAGAGGAGCAAGCAAAGCAGGGAGAAGGCTGGACTTGACTGAGACGAGCCTTGGTCGCCGGGGAACCTGTTTTGGGAGTGCTCTTCTGGGTCTGTTCCCTGTTTTGGGAAAGGCCCAGGTGCTTTGTCGCTGCCTGGGAACAGCACAGGGGAGTGGGAGGCACCCCAGCCTGACACGGCAGCGCGAGGCGAGCCGAACGGAGCCTTACCCAGCCAGTCGCTTCAAACATCTTCAGGTCCAGGGGGTCGCCCTGCATCCGCCCCTCCAGCAGCACCAGTGAATGGCAGCTCACCATGGCACCGCACACCGGGCCCCAAGGCAAGGTCTGGCCAGAGGCGAAGCTGTGAACCTCCTGAAAGCTGGTTTATGAGAGAGGAGAGGAGAGGAGAGGAGCTGGCATTGCCCGGGGTGCACTGAATGGCCAACAAGCAACGGGCTGACTGAGCCCCGTCCCAGGGCCAGGCCACCTCAGCTCTGCTGCAGGGCTGCTGGCCCTCTTTCATGTGTATTGCATGGATGTCAGAGACATCAGGGGCTGGAAGGGACCTCGTGAGATCCTCAAGTCCATAGGCAGGAACTCAGCTGGGATCAAGCGATGCATGCATCATGCATCGTTCTTCCACCTCTCCACCAAGCTAACTTTGGAGAAGGGCTGTCGCGGCTGTGCCCTGAGGTGCTGCCCTAAAGCAGATGGCTCTGCTGCATCCTCCAAGGCCCTGGGGCTGTGCAACACCCAGCTTGTAGGTACTTGCTTCCCAGTGGGCTCCTCAGCTGCTGGGGAGCAGCCCATCGTAGGATCCCTACGATGGTGACCCTCAGGAGAGAGCTGAGCGCAGAAGCATCCAAGCTAGACAGGAGAGGGATGCCCATGTGGCTGACAGACCATAGATAGGGGCCATCTTCACCAGAGATCCTGGCTGCAAAGCCTTTGCTGGAGTTTGGCACTTAAGTCCTATTTGCATGGGGGAGAGGGAGAGAGACACCCCCTGCACCCCAGAGTAGCCAGCAGCCTGGCTGAAGCATGGCTTCAAATCCCTGTTCCCCCATTTCAGAGCGGGGACTTGAACCCCCAGCCTCCTGAATGTCCTCAACACAAGGGTGCTGGGTACGCCGAGGTGGGCCCCACTCAGCCTGTCCTGCTGGGGCCAGTCCATTGCGTGTGCACAATTAAATATTCATTGCAGCCGTCTCAGTCCACCAGGCGACAAGCTCCAGTTACCATCAGAGACTTACCGGTTTCCTTCAGCAGGCACCACCCCCAACAGGTCCAGGCCGTCTTCTGTTAAGGTGCCGGTCTAGATTGAAAGGTGCATTTACATTAACTTCACTTTGCAAAAGACCCAAGAACTTGGAGACGGACACAAGAAGACTGGGATCTGGGACGTGCTATGCTAGTTCAGAGCCAGGGTCCCCAGCCAGGGCTCAATGCTCAGAGCCAGCGTGCAAGGGACAGAGCACAGCCCAAAGGGGCTGCTCGTGCGAGCATGGCCTGCACCTCGGCAAGAGTGTGAGACTGGAGCCTAGGACTGGGACGTGCCATGTGCATCGGTCATGGTAATAGTCATGGCAGGGAGCGGGCAGGACGGTGTGCGCGGGGTGCTCCAGACCATGCACACTCACGCGGCAGCCATGTCTCCATAACGAGCTGGCCTCCCCTCCTTAGACCATCGGTGTCTGTGTACCTGGTGCATTAGACCAGCCGCAGCAAACAGACAGACTCGGTCTTTATAAACGCTGCTCTCCGTTCACTGGGAGAGCTGAATTACGTGCCCCTGGCACTGCCAGGGTGTTGTCCCCTCCCCGGTCCCACACTCGCCGTTTCCCTGCTGCGAGACGCCGGCTCCAGCAGCACACCAGTGTCCCCAGTAACACAGCCAGCGAGCGGCACACACCTTGTCGAAGCAGAAGAGGTTCAGCTGCCCGCACATGTTAATCCGCTGAGGACTGATGCAGAAAATACCCTTCTTCTTCAGCCTGCGCTGGGTGTAAATGATCCCTGTCGTCAGGGCCGCGGGCAGGGCTGGGGGGACAGCAATGGTGATAACATCCAGTGCCTTTTTCACAATTTCTCCTGTCTCTTCCTGAGGCAGAGGGAAGGCAGTTAGTAGTCAGCAAACAAGGGAGAGCCCTGCTAGGGGCGCCTGTGTCTATCCCCTTCACCAGCGCAGGGTGGGACATGCACTCTTAAACTGCCCACCGTAAAAATCACTTCCCCAGACCCTGCCTGAACAGCCTGCAGGTACCGGACTCTGAAAGCAAAGTGCTTTCCTCAGAAAGGAGGAAAAAGTCTTCCACAGGCCAACTGTGGAATGAAACTCCTTGCTTCTCAGAATCAGGATTCAGGCTTTTTCTCCATCTGATTGCCCTCAAACTGTGCTGTAGCTTCCAGCAGCTTTCACAGACACTTTTGTGCGTGTCTCTCACAACTGACGGCTCACTTGTCACTTGTTTTTCCAACCAGATTGCACAAAAGTGCATCACCCATTTGGCAAAAAAATATTTGCCAAGTGTTCTGCATTGCACATCACCTGTCTTAGCTGCTCTGAAATACTGCACTTGTTGCATACACCGGGCATTGCTTTAACCTGTGAGCACTGAGAGACTGCTACCGGATGCATGAGACACCATTATTAAGACAGCCTCCCTCCCAAAAAGCTTACAATCTAAGTGACACACATAGAAAAAGGATGTCCTGAACAACCTCAAAAGAAACGATAACTGAAACCATTTGGAGGCTTGCTGCCTCAGCTAGGAATATGTGGGATTTTTGCATGTTGCCATGAAAACAGTTTCACTGAACGGGGACCCCACATGTTAGTGCAAAAGTGAAGTGAAAATAAGACCAGGTTTCAAATGCAGAGTGGAACAAGTGCATCCTGGGCCTTCTGAATTGTATTATGAGCATTTCTTCCACCCCTGCCACTTACCCCATTCAGCGCAAATATGCACACAGCGTAGATCATCCCAGCAGTTGCCAGCGCTATCAGGCACATCAGGAAACTCATGACATCTCTGTACAGCTTGAAGTTAATTGGCTTAGGGTAGAGAATGGACCTCACCAGATCCCCTTTGGCTGTGTTGAAACCTGCAGTGAGAAACCACACCCGCTGGGCATCAGTCGATGGTGGGATTGTTTCTAAAAGCTCACTGAGAAACATGGTGGTTAAAAGATTCATAGATACAATGGCTTACACAGGGAGCCTTTGTACACGCCACGTTTTTTGCCCTTTCTTGCACTGCAACTGCGTGACTTTTTGCACAAGCAGGTTTTCCAGATGCTTTAAAAGTCTTTCTCGCGCATTAAACTAAAACTCCTTGGACATAGTTTAGTTTGGCTCACCGAGAATTAAAGCGTCACGTCCATGGATTTGTTGCGTGCAAATACAAAGGCACTCAAAGACTTGTAATGAGCCTCTTTACCCACCAGATGGTGCCGCAACTTTTTTGTAGTTCACCCCTTCAAATTGCTTTTGCTTTCGAATTGCTTCCGGGTTTTTTTTTTTCTTTTCTTGTGTGGTTTGCTGGCTCCCTGCTTCCACAGCTGCATAGCAAAGCACTGGCATGGGGTGGGTGGGGGACCCCTGGCCTGGGGGGCAGTACTGCACCATCCTGCTCTCCTGCACTGTCAGCCAGAGGCCCGGCTTAATTCGTTTGAAAACGTAGTGCGTGTAAACACAGATGCGACGCTCCAAAATAAACAAGTTTAAATATTATAAACCTATTTAATTTAATGAGGATTAAAACCCATGGTGTGTACAGGCACCCAGGAGGGCCAGATCCTGCATTACAGCTGATAACTGCTACTACATGGAAACAGCCTTTCCATAGAGGGTGCTGTTTGTCTTAAGAACTCGGTGTCCTGCCCTGCCAACAGTTACTACGACACGTGATGAGTGCCAGCTACCATGGGTAGACTCACTGGCTGGAGTCCAGGGCACTCATCACAAGAGCAAGTGACTGGAATTCAGTGAACAGAAAAGTTGGTGGTGGAGGCGGTGTGCCTTCGAATGAAGGAGAGACCACACTGTAATGCAATGTAAAGGGATTGCCTGATGCAGACTGTACCTTGCTGCAGACGCATTAGGAGAATGCTTGAGGTCTTTAGATGCTGCTCCATTTTGGGGGTAGAAATGTATGTACCTACTTGGGATGAAACCTCAGATGTGCAAGGGGAAGCCTCCCCCAGTGTGGCTGGGCTGGGCTGGGCCATTGACGGCTAGTCCAGGCGGGTTTCTGCAGAGCCCATCCATTGATGAGCGGGGTTGTCTCAGAGAAACTTGCTGCTGAGTCTTGGTATTACCTGGCGCTTCAAGTTCACTACAACCCAACCCACTGCGTGAACTTCCACTGCCACAAGACTCCCAGGGCCATGCATCAAGCCCTAAGACCCCTGCTCAGACCCCGCCATGCTCCAAAGACCCCTGCCTGCCCCTGCCCTCCACCATCTTCTGTGGGGTGGTTTCATGCTATTGCCAAAATCCCTGCTGTCGTGTCCAGTCCTGGGGCTGCTACCTCAAGCACTTCTCCTGGCCACCCCTGCTGTGGTGTCAGGACGAGAGATTATCAATCCCTCTGCTTGTGCCAAGCCTCTCGGGGCCTCCCTGGGTCCACTGCCCTGAGGCAGACTGGCCAGGGTGTAGCTGGGCTTCCAGACTGCTCAGAAGGTTTGAAGTTTCTAAAACAAAAGATTGGATTTTGTGAAAAGATGAATTTGGGGCTTTTTGCCCAGATTTGGGAGGAATTCTTTTCTCTTTTTCCAAAATCTTGAACATGATCAAGAAACAGAGATCCAGGTCTCTGGCCTGCTATAGCATTTTTGGTAAGAGCCATGCCAAGCAAATTCACGCAACAAGGAGCAGTTTGGTGCAGACAGACACGGGCCAAAGCCGGCATCCGGACAGACTGCTGTCGATCTGGAGTAGCTCCATCAGTACTATGTGACCGGGTGAAGGGGGATTTGACTCTCGGTCCAGTCCAGCCACCACGTTAGAGAAAAGCCAAGTGAAGTGTTGACTAACCCGTCCGCAGCACAATGGCCTTCACCAGGTCCCCGCCGTCTGCCTTGGTCTGGATCACCTCTGTTCCGCAGAAGAGGATGTGTTGCTTGTACTCCTCTGAGCAGTGCGTTTTCCAGGGCTCGGTGTTATTGGTGTAGGGCAAGGGGGCCTTCGGCACGGGAACGCTTTCTCCTGGGGGTGATCAGATCGCGTTAGGCCAACTGCAGCATTTCAAAATCTGCCTTGATGGATGAACGTGCAGTCATGTTCATAGAGTTTCTAGTGCGTAAATAGCAGCTGGAGCTGACAGGCTGGTTGGAAAAGTCTTCCCTGTGTGCTGTCACTGCCGTGGTATGAATGGGGCATGAGGAAGGGTCAGATGTGGCCCTTGCTGGAGTCAGTGGGACAGCTCATGGGTGTCTTGGCTCCCTGAACGAGGGTCCAAGGGCCCTCATGCTCTGAGGTTAGTGGAGCTACAGCCTTTGGGATGCTGCCTGATTCAGGCTGTTGTCTCCAAGGCATCTGGCTAGTTTGGACCTGATACTTGGACTCGTTCTACACCTGCTCCTCCTGTCCTCCTCTTCCCTGCCCTGCTCCATCTCCTCCCTTCCCTTCCCTTTTCTCTCCTGTTTGGCCAATACTCTCCTAATGAACATGCCTGCACCCCTATGCAGAAAACCATGACGTGACATCTGCTGCCATCATGCAGTTTGCTCTGCTGGTAGGTTCTGTCTGTTCCCCCGACCCGGAGTCTGCCTCACCTGGCTGACGTGGAAGTGCTTTGTGCATAGTGCTTGGTACAGTGGGGCCCTGGGCATGGCTGTAATAGCCATGAATAATAATGATAATAATAATACTGCATGGTGAGTACCTGTCAGCATGCTTTCATTCACAATGCACCTGCCACTGATCAGGACGGCATCACAGGGCAGAAAGCTTTTGCCCTCGGTCAGAACCAGCGTGTCTCCAGGCACCAGTTGATGTGACTTCACCTTTTGGCAACCTGCAGGCAATGGGAGCGGCAAAGCATTGTTTGGCCCTAATCTCTTGCCCAAGCAGAAAAAGAAACCCAAGCACCCTCCAGTCAGACAAACAGTCATTTGTTTAGCAAATAGATATGGGTCTGAAGTGGGACCTCCGGATTGTGGTTCTACCAGGCAGCATGTAACCCAGCCCTCTGCACTGGAGAAAAGTTTGGACCTGGATTCAAACTCTGAGACGCCACAAAGGGCCCAAACAGGAACTTTGGCTCCGAACACCCTGCTACTTATTGGAGAATCCTGGATTCAGACTCCTGCTTTTCAGATGGCTGCCTGGACAAAGGAGCATGTTTGAAATGCTGAGCTCAGACAGGCGCAGAGCCATGAAGGGTAGTTACAGGACTTGCTCTGCCATGTGGCCAGAATGATTCGGGTCTCCGTTGCAATAGACTGGTTTAAACCACCCTGGCTAGGGACAGACATTACACATGACCCAGTTTAAGTGATCTGAAATTGCTTTAAACCTGTAACAGAACAGATGTTCAGTGCACAAAAACCATTTTGAAAATGACTGAAACTGGTTTGAGATAAACCGGGTTGAATGTAGTATCAGACTTAACTGATTTGGGTCAAACTGGTTTATGCAATGTCTGTCCCAGACCCCTTGCTGGTTTAAGTTAAACCAGACTCCCCCAGCATCCTAGCATGCTCTCTGCGCTGGGCAGGCTCTCTGCTCCACACCAGGGCTGGCCCCACCCCTCTGCTCCCTGGCTGCAGCTCCAGCAGAGACTGCAGGCATCTGCCTGGCTTCCCCCCGCTCCCACCCTCCCCTCCCCACTCCCTGCTAAGTAGGGATTTCCCCCTCCCTCTGCCTTACACAGACACCTTTCTGCTGTGGCAGACAAGACAAAGGCAGACTCAACAGGTAGCTGGTAATGTCCCTCTGTTGCTTTCTTAATGGCCTGATAAACACTGAGTTAGGGGTGATAAACACTGTTATCAATTCCCTGCTGGGCTGGGCGGGGGCGGGGGGAACCCCTCCCTAATCAGAGCATCCTGTCGGGGCCTGGCCACACCCTCCCCCTCAGCTCAGCATTGTGAAAGGGAAGGAAGGGCTGCTCTAGCTCCCCCTCACTTCTAGCCTGAGCCACTGCAAGCATGTGCCTGCATTTTCTCAGTCCATAGGGATGTCTGTGCACTTGCAAACTGGTTCAGCCTAGTCAGGTTAGACTAACCTGCAAAGATTGAATCCATTCAGACTCAGGCTTTTCGAATGTCTGTCCCTAGCCCCTGGCAATACAATGAGTATGCAATGACTCGTCTGTAAGTGGCACCAGCCAATTCAGCAGATTGGGAAAAAGCGGGGGATGTCGTCTGTGCAACTTCTGGGTGCTGAACTGTCATGGAATTGGAACTCAAATGAAAACTGAGCAAGTCTCACCTCCCGTTTTCCTGGACACGGTCACTGTGACATTGGTATGAGACTCAACCAGTCTGTGCAGCTTGACAGATTGCTGCAAGGTGAGAAGGGAACACAGCAAAGGGTTAAATCTCAAAACATAACAATGCATTCTTCAGTCCAGCCCCTGTGGATGACTGTGGTTGTTTGCAAGGCGGTGGGTGACAGACACTTCTACCTCTGTGCCAGGGACTGCTTTTGAAGTCTTCGTTTACACAAGGATGGTGAGCAAACAAGGTGCTGCTATGTGGAGGGAGGATGCTGGTAACAGCAAGGAGAGAGGACTAGGAGTAGCTGGTGAAACCAGCTGTGGGGGCTACTGGGATACAGCAGTGTCATTAATGTATGCATTTGGTATGCAAATGGTTAAGGCTGGGGTTTTCAGTAGGATTTAATCCAGCCTGGAGATGTACACATATATCAAGCTCCCCCGGTAAGGGCCCCAGCACTGCAAAGTGTCTTTCACGTTGTGATCTGATCGCGTGTCCAGCTGGATGTCACGTTCTGGGGTCTGAGCTCCCGGGCAGCAGCTGGCAGATATGAATCATTCCCCTTCATGGGAGGCAGAGTGCTTACCTTCCTGAGGTCATACACGGTTAAAGAAACTGAGAGGAGGGACATGAGTAGGATAGCGCTGGCATACTCCGTGTAATCATCGGCAAACCACAGGCATATGCTGAAGAGCTGGAACACGTAGAAAGGGTGCAAGACCTGTTTGGAGAGACAGCAGCAATGAGTCCTGGAGCTCTGGCTCCAAGCTGGGGCACCACAGCTTGCCAGGACACAAGGTCTAAGCATCCAAGATCAACGTGGACGGTAGTTTGGATGTGCGGGGCCCAGTTTGAGCCCAGCAGCGCTGTGTTGTCTGGGCAAAGCAGAGCAGAGAGGAGAAGGTTTGGGCTGTGGCATGAGGAAGGCACTGGTGGGAAGACGTGACCCAGCCAGGTAGCGCAGCTGGGGTCAGCGATCTGTTGCCAGCTAGTTTAGAGGTGCCTTTCACTGCGAAGTGCCTGTTTCTCGCACGGCCGAGCCCAGCTTTACGAGATGAAGCAACCGATGCTTTGGCAGCGACGAGAAACTAAATGCAAAGCCGCAGTTCGGGTGTGGTGGGGGACGGGGAACAATGGTGCGTGATGGTTTCAAGGAAGTTTTCATTCCAATCTGGGGGAGAGGGAGCGTGCTAGGTGGAGGACCAGGCACAGAACCGACTGTGTCCCTTAGGCCTGTTCCACCGGTCCAAAGACCCCCCGGTAACGGTCATGGAAACACAGCTTACCTCTTTGACGAGTAGTTTCCAAATAGGGACAACGCGGACATCGATGGTATTTGGCCCGCATATTAGCCTCCTGTATGGGGTAAGGAGGGATGACTATTAACGGGACCTTCATTTATTTAGCTGTGTCCCCGCACCCGCGAGTACAAACAGCAGCAGCTCCTACTGCATCGCGAGCTGGCACTGATCCCACTCGCAGAGCTGCAAAAATCTCCATTCCCAAGACAGAGAGAAATCATCTAGCATTCTGCATATGCCGGGTATTTCCATGCATCAGTTCTTCGGCGGCAGAAGTACGGGCTTGCTAATGTCCAAACACTACCAGTTACCAGGACAGAGAGTGCCCGCTTTGCACACCCAGAGAGGACAACTCAGGGCTGTAGCAACTGCACGCGCAGAGGGGCAGTGAGATACTCAGACCTGGCCGGGGGATGCCATGGGATGCCCATCACTGCACCGTTCCCGCTCATAGCTGTTAGTCAGACAGCACTTCTTGGTCAATAAATTAAGATATTTTCTAGCAATGTGTTCATCTACTTGAATGAAGTCAATGGTGAGGACTCATTAATTACTTAAGTTATTTACACTAAGCTGTCCTGAGGAAATCGTTAGTGGATTATCAGCGCGGCTGCTGGAGACGTGGCTTTGGTTCTTTCTGGGCGTGCTGTTTCTCTTAACTGGAAAGCAGAGATAATCAGCCTCAAAGCATATCGCCGCTCTCCGAAAACGAACAATTGAGAAATACCCAGAGATATTTCCAGCAAAGAGCTCAGCCCATCCTTTCCTTTGCACACAGCTGCCCAATGCCTAATCGTGTCCTGGGAGGTCCTACACCCACCGCCCTCCGTCCGCGCTGACACCAGCGTGTAGATCTAGTGCTAGGCGCCCCGGGCGGGCTGCAGTGCACACCTGATAGCCTGATCTTCATGGCTCAGACCAGAGCCAAACTTGGCGTGCATATCTGAACACGTGTGGTGGTCTTCTAAACAGCTGAAAGACAAAGGAGAAGTTTTCCTGTTGAAGGCATTCTCCAAGAGGCCCTATTTCCTTAGGGAAATGTGTAAGCAGCAGTTTCAGCTCACCCAATTTTCTGGAACCGCTTCCCAGAGATATTCCAAACGTACCGGATCTTCTGCACCTGGATGCATCTCACCTGCAAAACCAACGAGCAACAGCTGTGTTTGCAAGGGCGAGGGGGGGCGAACAAAAATCGGCTCGCTGCTGCTCAGGGACTCGGGAAAGTCAGGGGCGCTAGCGGGGCTGGACTCCAGTGCGACAGGTGGGGAGAGGACAGCACCTGCAGGAGGTTGTAGCCCACGTGCCGTCTCCTCCGACTGAAGTTATGCACTGACAGATGGGCAGTGCAGGCTCCGGCTCTAAAGGCCCTCACGGCAGCACCGTGACAAATGCTTCTGCCATCCAGGGCTGGCTAGAAGACACTGTCCCATTTTGGTAGACGATAACCCAATCTCCTCTACACACCACTTGGTGACATGCCAGCTGGACTACAACAACGCAATCCACCTGCGCACAAAGCCGTCGGCCTCAGCAAGCTCGGACTAGTGCAGGATGCAGCACCGTGTCTCCACGGTGCCAAATCCAGGGTCATCTGCTGCATTCAGACATAGCATCATAGAAAAGTAGGGCTGGGGGGGAGCTCAGGAGGCCAAATCTAGTCCAGTCCCCCCACTTAGGGCAGGCTCATCTCTGCCTAAACCCCCCCAGCCTAACCTCTTCTTGGAAACATCCAAGGATGGAGACCCCACAGCCTCCCTAGGCAGGATGTCCCAGTGCTGAACCATCCTCAGAGCGAAAAAGTTCTTGTTAATACACAACCTACATTTCTCTTGTTGCAATTTAGCACTGTTATTTCTTATCCTGTGCCCTGTGGCCACCAAGACCATCTCTCACCACCCTCTTCATAACCAGCCTCTCGGTATTTGAAGAGTGGTGTCCAATCCCCCCGCAATCCTCTCTTCTCAAGACTAAATCATCCCAATTCTTTCAGTCTTTTCTCATAAATTGTATACGGTTAAAACTCTGCCAGCACGTTCTCCGCTTGCTTAGCCTCGGAGCTCGGCCATGTGGGATGCTGAGTGCCCAGGTCCTGGATGAGGGACTCAGCTCCTTGCTGGATCAGACCTCTGTATACCTCTAATAATTCACGTCTTTTGGAGATAGATAGTTTAGAAAGCAAGGGGATTATATAACTGACATCTAGGGAGGGGCCTCTGACCTTCTGTTGGAGGATTATGCTGCTCGCCCTTGGCTGCTTTGAAATGTAGTATTTTCTTCTTAGCTGTTTTGGGCTGAATTACAAAGATTTATTCAAAGGGTCTGGTCTTGGAGGGTTGCGGAGTATTTTTAGATGTTGCCGAGTCCATCCTCTGAAGAACGTTATGCATCGCTTCCCCCTCTCAGACCATGCCAGCTCTTACATGTATATGTTAATATAATATATTCCCCGGGGAAAAGGAAAGGAAAGAAAAGATTTGTTCAGGTGCATCTAAGGCTGCCCAGGTGGAGCGATGGTCTCTGCTAAAATCCTTGCGGTATCTGAGATGTGAATGTCGTTGAAGATAACGAGCACCATCGTGCATTGCTGGAGCGTGTCTGGAACAAGGTGGGTCCGGAGCTGGCTTGTGTTCCTGGCTGCCAACGCTGAGTGATTTAGACACTTACAGCAAATTTCCCCTCAGATGCATCCCATATGCTACTGCCCTCCCTGCCCATGCCAGGGTTGGGTTTCCACCCCTGAGAAACAGCGGACCCTTTTTCCATCCTCCTGGTAGAGTGAGGGGGGCCCTGGCTGATGGGTCCTTTTCCAAAGCAAACCAGCACAGCCCCCTGCCCTCCCGTGGCTCTCTGCCACGGGGTCTGCCCCCCAGCACCTCCGGCCCCCATCGCCTTGCGTGCATCCCGAAGGACGGCTCCCTGCTCCTCCACGCTGCGCTTCTACCGACCTCACCTGCAGCCTCCGACCAGTGCAAAGGATGCTGAGCAGGCGTGAGAGGATGGGCCAAGGCAAATCCGAAGAAAGGTAAGAAAATATTATGCCCTCTTACTTTTAAATCCGGCTTCATTAGGACTTCATTGATGACAGAGCTTTCATCCGCAACGAGGGGATGGCCCGGTTTGAAGCTGGGCAGCGCGGACACAGAGATCCACGTCACCTTCTTTCGTGAGTAAAGGTGAAATTCATCCTAGAGAAAGGGGAAAGAGAAGATCGCGTGGGCTTGCAGGGAGACATCCTGCACCTCAGCGAGGCCAGAAAGCAGGCGTCCTGCAGCGCCCTCAGCAAAGACGACGCTAATAACCAGCGCAGGATGGATGCACAGCTGCTGCGAACCCTGAGAGTTAGGAGGTGAATGAGAGGTAGGAGTCTCCATCCTTGGAGGTGTTTAAGCCCCGGGTAGACCAAGCTGTGTCCGGGATGATGTAGTTGGGGCTGGTCCTGCTTGGAGCAGGGGGGTGCACTAGATGTGACCTCCTGGGGTCCCTTCAACCCTCATAGTCTATGATTCAAGGTGCACCAAACAGTGCATGGCCCCCACTGCTGCCGTCCATTGGGCATGTGGCCCCGGGGTGCCCTGGAAGCTGGATAGCCCTGACTCAAACGGGGGGAGCTCGTGCAGCAGCTACTGCCCTTAGTGTCTCCTTCCAGCTGGACTGCAGGACCCAGAGAGGACGTGTGCATCCAGATTCCCCCTCGGTGGCAAGCTTGGATGTCTCCTGTGATATGCAGGGCGTAAAGAGATGCCCGCTCTGTGGATCCTCTGCCTGCTCACCAGGCTGCCCTGTATGGATGGAGCGTGGTCGGCTGTAGCAGCGCGCCAGGCTGTCTATGCCATGGGCCTGGGAGGGGCTGCTCCGGGGGGTTATGATCGCCGTGCTGTCCCCACTCCTATCTGGGTCCCAGTTAGTAGAGAGGGTGGAGGCAGAATCCCAGTAGGGCTGGGAACCCTTCTTGCAAGCAAAGCTAGAGCAGGAGCAAAGCTGTTCTCCAGCGAACGGGCTGCAGGCAAAGGATTGAGAAAGCATTAGTAGTCTAAACAAGCAGCAGGTGGGAGGGCGTCAGCGCTGAAAGCAGCGGTGATGTTGTGGAATGGAAATAACTGAGGCGAGACACGTGCAAATACAAACTGTCGTGTGCACGGAAATGCCGTCCGTGCAACTTGGGTCACATCCAGCTGCAGGTGAGTAACAGAACTAACATCCTCTCCCCCTTCCAGCCAGCTCAAAAAGAAGACAGGCCTTTCTATGCCCTTCTGATTACACTAATGAGCTTGTCAGGAGGTTAAAGGCAGGAGGCAGAAAATGAGACAAGGGGCTCATTGTTGCATCTGGGTCGAAACTTTCTTTAACAGCAAGCGTGACTGCTAATCACACTCGGTGGAGCCAAACCACCGCTTTGGAGCCGATGGTAAACTATGAAGACTCTCATTTTGTAAGCCAAGGGGGGCAGTCCAGGGGGGCGGTTGATGGGATTCTCCTGGTCCTCAAGAGCAGGAACATCCCCATCTCGATGCTGGCGTAATCGGATCAAATGCTAAAAACGGCGCAAGTGCCACTTTCATGCAAAGAAGCCAGGGACAGGCTCTTCCGCTGTGCAGCGCCCAGCGCTCACTTTCACAGAGGGCCCCGATAACATGGATATCAGCAAAAATGCAATCCTTGTTTAATTACATGGAGGCTAATTTAGAAGCTCACTTATTTGAGAAGCACTCAGCATGGCAAATCCATTTAAAATGTCACCTGAGAATAAGTAATTAAAAATGCAAGCCAAACTCAAGATTAAATGATGAGATTAAACCTAGTACACTTTCTTGATTAGCAGAGTCCCATGAGCTTTTCTGGAGGCACAGTCAGCTTTTGTGTGAAACAGTCCAGAGACAGGCCCCGATTTCCAAAAAACCCTAAGGCAGGTGATCGTATGCATTTGTCTTGACTTCACACGCGTGTGCAGACACGGTGACTGCATTCGTTACGTCACGTGACTGTGGGTGCGAATGGCTTATGGCTGCTCTAAGGGGCACTGCTTTGGGATTCCTGAACGAGAAGCATTTCAGGCTTCAGGACCGACTCCAGCTTGTCTGCAATTCTTGTTTCTGTTGTAGAGGATGTGAAACAAAGTCAGGGCCGATGCGGGGGTTCACTCCAGCCTCTAGGGGACAAGAGTCCCTAACAGGAAACCTCCATCCTGAATCACTCCCTTAATGGGACTCTGCAAAGGGATGGATGCTGCACTGGGTGTGGAGAATAGATATGCCTTCATCTAAGAAATGGTCTGATCACATCAGGGTTGAGGCTCACTGGTACACAGCACCATGAAGCCAGAGCTGCACCCATTCTGAAGGGGGCTAGGCACCTGTCTCCCATTTCAGCACGTTTGAAATTTGGAAACGTCGTGAAACAGCCATGGCTGGCCCCAGGTGGCAGGCACAGACCCCCTCCCGCCCACCCTAGGAGGCTGGAGTGGAGCAGATGCCAACTCATGAAAAGACTTGACTAAAAGGCAACTTTGATTCTGCAATAAAAGGTAAAACCCCAGGATAAATACCATGGTGCCAAACCACAGGTGGCATGGGGACCCTCCCCACAATACTGGGAGGCTCCTGCCTCCCGTTCCAGATGTGGTGGATGTACAGGACTTGTAAAGCACGCTGGGGTCCTGCGCAGGAGAGCTGCCAAAAACCAGACATTGTTCCTGGACAGCAGCAGTGTGAGATCTTGGTTACATGATCCCCTCAACAGCCTGTGAACTGCAAGCAAGCCAGTAATGTGCAGGTAGGCGAGCACTCACTGTGGTCCTAAGCAAGACGACATCCGCTTCTTGCAAGCTGCAGGGAATGCAGTTTGCCCACAAATCCCATGCTGGCTTCCAGTAAAACACCAGCCACAGGGCCCCGCAGGACAAGATATATCCAGCAATGCACAAGGCTCTCCGGCAGCCCTCGGTTTTGTAGCCGAACATCTCCTGTGGAGCAAAGAAAAAGAAGTAAAGGAATGGGGAGCATGTACTCCAAAGCAACACATGCATCCCACATAGCGGGAGGAATCCAGGTGGGTATGAGGAGCTATGTGGGGTGGCACTGCACAACCCCGGGTCACAACCATCGCATGCACAGAGAACGCTGTAAGCTCTGGGGAGCTAGTAGCAAGCTTGGGAGCAGGGGGTTGGATTACATGTGACCCCCTGAGGTCCCATCCAGCCCTGACTTTTTATGATCTCGTGCACATGGCAGAGTCTGGAGTGACTGAGGTCTAAAAACCCCTAGAAGGAAAATTTGAAATGGGTTGCCTGAAAAGAAGAGACACAGCTGGAATCATATCTAAGTGTGGAGCCAGATGCCTTGGGCTATAAGTCAGGAGCTCAGCTCTGTGCTCTCTGTCTGTGTAGGTGTTGGGTGAGTTGGATGGGTGGTTACCAGCTTCCAGCAGGGCCTCCAGAGCCATCATCTTCACTCCTAGCAGTAGGAGCAATTAATATTGCAGTGATCAATGCTTGGCCCCTCGTTTTCCACACTCAAAGTGCTGGGTGACACCAGCCAGTCCTCCTTATTCCTCTGTGAGCAAGTATCATTAGCTGCACTTAAAGGTGGAGAAACTGGACCAGCAAGGTGAGGTGATCTGCCCTCAGCTTCAGAGGAAGGGATTGTCCAGGAAGTGATGACTGTCAGAGCCTCCTCTCCCCAGTCCCATCTCCCAGACCACAAGCTGTGTCTCTCTGTTAACCAAAGTTAGCAAGGAGCTGGTCAAACCAGCTGTGCTTATTCTTGATGGGTAGACTTTTTTGATGCAATGCATCCAGGTCCCAGGTAATGTAGCTGAGGATGCTCACTGTCCCTGGCCCTCCCCTCCCTGTGGGTTCTGGCCTCTGTGTCTTGGAGGAGCACAGGGGGGTCTTGGAAAAATCCCCACAAGTTGTCCCCATCAGTAGCATTTGGAAAATTGGTAGCAACAGCAGCAGCGAGAGCAGCACAGGATGGCTCTTTAGACTTTCCCGGATTGCACTAGGCAAAAGATAAGTGTGCTTAGAGATAGGTGCACCTAAGAGGAGATGGCTAAGAGGAGGTGCACCTAAGAGGAGGTGGCTAACATGTGCCTGCCTCAGCAGAGAAGCAGGTATGTCTGTGGGCCTAACTCAACTGCTCTGAGTTGTTCTAGGCTCAAATGAAGCCTAGACAGCCTGGGAAGAAGCTCACTTGGCTTTCAGCACAGCCGGGGTCGAAGCACCAGGGATCCTGCGCCCCAGACTGTCAGGGAACAGGTATCATGCAGCCTGGTCTATCTGTTTGTGCAGGGAAAGCAGTGAGGTTGATTGACCAGCCCACCCAGGTCCACTGCTGGGAAACTCTCTGTGAAAGGTCGCCCTCCCTGGTGCCATCTTTCTGGTTATCCGCGCCTTACGTGGGGCGCCCTTGCGGCCTGCTTTGGAATTCTTTGGTCCCACCCTAATCTCGTCTGCCACGTCTTGATGGAAAATGTTGTTTATGCAAGTGGGAGACTGCCTATTATTTGGGGTATGTTGGGGTCTCTCCTGTTATGGCCAGACCCCTGTTTTCTCTGGCTAGGCCTCCCCATCCAAACCCACTAAACAGGGTTTGACTCCAAGGCTCTAGCTTTTTTTTTTCCCCTTCTAGTGCCTGGAGACTTGTGGCCACCTTTCCTGCTCCTTTCTGGAGCCAGGCACTCTCCAGCCCAGAGGCACGGGAGCTGGACCCACACCCAGAGAGCCGCAGGTTCAAAACCAGGGCACAACCCCAAAGCCACCCCTGTCAGTCCAAACAAGGAAAAAAAACAAAATACACCTGCCTTCGAGTATTGGGGTTTGTGTCCCCCCCCAAAACTGCACCTTCTCTGCCCCCCCTGGGGCCTCTCTCACTGCTCCCTGTCTGGGGCTGGGGTCCCTACACTACCGTGAGTCCCCAATGAGGCCTCCTCTGTCCCTTTATAGCCTCACCTAAGCCACTGGTCTTAGACAGTAAACAAAACACAAGCCCCTGGGCTATAACATAAATCCTAGCCACCCAGCTATAACATTATTCCAGTCACACCAGGGGTGCTCCATCCTTCCCCAATCTCGGGGCAATACCTGCAGTCTGGCCTCTCTCCTCTGCTTACTCTGGGAGAGCTCCTTCCCCCTTGGCAGCTGGCAGGGAACTGCCTGCCTGGCCTCAGCCCTGGGGTTTATGTGGGACTAGGGCCCCGCCTCCTCCGGCCAGCTGACCAGGTCCAGGTGCGGCCAATCCCCTCATTAACCGGTTGTCCTAGCAACCCGCACCTGGGTGTTTATTTCTGCTCTGTAAGTAGCAGGCACCTTAGTGCCCTGCTACACTCTCCTGCCCAGCCATGCACCTGACAGCACATCGCCTGGGGCAGCCGACACACCTGGAAGGGAAATCTCCAGATTGCGCTGCATGCCGGCAGGGGAGGCAGGATGGTGTGCTGAGAATGAGACCATCAAGGACACAGCCAGGAGCTCCTCACCCTCGTGGGCATCACTCTTGGGTCCTCTTTTATGCAATGCGAGCTTGATAAATCCCTTAACTTCTTTGTGCCTCTGTTCCCTCACCTGTCTGATGACGCTAAGGCCACCTGCCTTTGCAAAGCATCTTGCTACTGTGGAAGTGTGAGGCACCAGGTAATTCATCACTTCTCTTCATTGTGACTACTTGATTGCACTGGAAAGACAGTGGGTACTTAACACCGGTAGCTGAGCACTCTCTGGAGGCCAGGGTTGGCTGACCACGTGCCAGGACTCCTGGGTTCCCTTCATTGCACCGCTGCCAAAATATTGCTGAACCCAGAAAGAGTCACTTGATCCCTCTGTGCCTCTGAATCAGCAGGGTGTCCTGAGGCTTGAGCTATTCATTTCAAATTCTTGGAGGTTTTGGGGGGAAAAAAGGGGCTGAGGACGTGCAAGGAATTATTAGCCCCGAGAAGCTGCCAGAGCTGCTGATATTGGCAGAAAGTTTGTGTATTCAAAGAGCACTTGATTTATTAGCTTTATCTGGAGCCAAGAAGCAGAAACTGCTGCTGTTAATAGTATTTGCAACCACCAATCCCAGATCTCAAGGACTTACTACACCTGTATCCTCTAAGCCAATGCTATTTGTGGCCTAAGGAAAAAACCAGCTTGTTATTTGCAGGTCACCCACGAAGTTAAATGCAAATGCCAAGCAAGTCCAGGCAGCCTTCTCCTCAGGGAAGAAATTGGCCTTCAGCTCCCAAGAGGAGGACAAACACCACCAATCCCATAGAGTATTTCAGCTGATCTCATCGTCAGGTCCTTTCTGCTTTGGTAGCAGGAAGGGAACCTGTTTGCAGCAACCTAAAAGCATTGTCGCTATAACGACAGGTAATAGGATTAGACTTGAATACTTGTTGAAGGACTCCCGAAGGATTTAATAACTGGGCCTCTGTCTTAACTGCCAGGAAGTGTTTCACTGGGGTCTGCTCCAGCTTCCTTGGAAGTCAGCAGCCGGGCATGCTGTGGCCCCAGGGGCCTGCGCTGCCCAGGGCCCAGCTGTGCTAGGGTTTGAGTCCTGCTACCTCTGGGGATACGAAGCGACAGAGTCCATCCCCGCGCTGATCCCCAGTGACTACCTGGCAGGGGTGGATGGGACGGTGACCCAGGAAGGACAGCCGAGAGGTGCCCTGCAAGCAGGACTATCATTGCACCAAGGGATAGCATTGGTATCAATGAGTCAAGACCTAGGAGCCGGTCGTTTGACTCTGGTGGATGAAAACGAAGGACGAAATGCTTCCCCACAGTCAGATTTTGGAAACAGGGGTTGCATGGTTGGTGACATATTGGCTGCTCCATGCAGTAGGTATTTTCTCAAGCAAAGGACCACTCTCACAGCACATGCTTCTCCCTCTCTCTGGCTCTGCCCTGTGCACACTCTCTCTCTCTCTGTCTCACACACATGCGCGCGCACACACACACACACACACACACACACACACGCTTTAAAAACAAATTCCTTGGAACCCTCTTTCGGTGAATAATCACCGAACAAATCACCCTTAGCACCGTACTGTGGATGCTCCCTCCCCACCTCCTGTCAGCAAGCATCCCTCAGGTTCGGCGCTGGGACTGAGCCCATGGGTCGGCAACTCGGGGCTGGACCCGATGATCTTGCAAGGTCCCTTCCAGCCCTAATGTCTCTGAAATCTATGAAACTCTCTGTTCTTTGCCTCCTACATCTCGTGCAGATGGACAGTGCTGCCTAAAGCGTCAGCCATCCCCTTGCAAAGGTGCGTTGCACTCCCCCTCGGCAGAGGACAGGTCTCAGTCACTGGTGGATTAAGAACGGTGGTTCCTGGTGTTCGGTTCCCACCTATTTGAAAAGCTTAAAACACGCATGCACAGCAGCAGCCAGTGCAATGCTGTTCCAGCAGTGACGCCCGTCTGCTCTCCCATCCCGAGCTGAAATGCAGGTGGCAGAGCTCTGCAGCAATGCATGGGAGGCAGGTGGCTTCGGGCCAGGAAGGAACAAGACCTAAGGATTCAGACGGCGACTTACCATTTCGTTGTCCTCCCCCTGGTTGAGCAATGCCCGGTGCCCTTCCTCCATGGCGTGCGGCTGCATTTGTCCTCCAGTGGTGCCAGGACCCATCTGTGGCTTTCATGCCCCACAGCTGGGCTGCAGCGGTCTGGTCCCTTGCACACCAAGGAGCCTGCCTCAGAGCACACCTTCGTCCCTGGGGAGAGCTCCTCCCTCTCTGGGGGTTTCGGGCAGCATGCCTCCTCCCTCCCTGCTGGTGCCTTATGTCCTGAGGCTGCTGCCGGGAAGGAAGGCCTGCACATGGGTGTGGGAGGAAGAAAGAGGTTTGCTCTGCTAAGTGTCTGCCGTGACTTGACTCCCAGTCGTAGCCGGGATGAAAGAACAGGTCTGCTCAGGGCAGGGCACGAGGGGAATGGCTCCCCTCCCGGGAGGAGTAGAGGTGCGTGGGCAAGGGAGTGCACCTTCACAAGAAGGAAAGGCAGGCATCAGCAAAACTGTGCACTGTGCAACCTGTGCAAACCTGGGGCCCCGCCTGGTCCCAGGTATTCCAGGAAGGAAGCAGGGGTGGCCTGGCCTCCAACCCAGGGCCCCGATCTGCACGTGTGCACACATCCGATGGGATGGGCATAGTCTGGGCATCAGCACTGCCGCTTGTCAATGGGGTGGTGCCCCCCAAATGGGCCGGCTCTCACCCCAGAAGGGATAAAGCACAGAGTTGATCCTACAGCTGTGCACCCCGCAGCCTGGGTGCTTCCCCAGGGGCCGCGCGTGCAAGGTGTGCGGCAGGATTGGGGCCGGAGATGGGATGCCAATGGTGGGGCAACACAAGGACCTGCCCCCAGTTTCTTCTGTCATGTGTGTGAAGGATTGTATTTGCCCCCTCTTCTGCCCTGTCCTCTCATGGCTCGCACTTCTGACAGGTGCTATAGGACCCTCTCCCAGGCGGGCAGCCTTGTCCTGCCCAGTCCCGTCCTCTCTCTTTTGCATGCCAGGCCGTGACGTCACCTGTATATTAACGAGGAAGGCTGTCCCCAGAGTCTCTAAGTGGGATGAACGAGTCCTGGCTCGACCGACCACGCTGGGGTCTCCCAGTCCCACACGTGTTACAGCGCCCTGCATTCACCGTCTCTTCTTCCATGCCCCACCGGCACCCAAACCTCCTGTGCATGGACCACCAGCCCTAACGGTGCGTCAAGGGCAATGATCGTGTCCTCAAGTCACCCCCCCAGTCACAGGTTTTACTCTAGTTTACTCTGGCCCTGTCCTCCTATCTGTCCCCCACCCCACTGCTACCCCTGAGGGCTTATCTCTGCGCGCCAGCCCTCCGAATCCCGGAGCTCAGCACGGCTGCTATCTCTCCATCCCTGACCCGAGCAGCGCTGCTATCTCGGTGTCCCAGATGACCCCGGCAAGTCTCACTGCGCAGAGGGCTTCCCAGGCAACCCCGGAGCCACGACCCAAGTCAAAAAAAAATTTCCACCAGTTGTTTTCCAATTCAAACAATCCCATCTTAGGCATCCACCTGCTGCAACGCCCCGTCGCCCTGCTTTCCCACCTGTTCCCCCAAGTAGCTGGCTCCCTCCCAGGTACCTTCCTGAGTCTGCAGCCTCCCTTCTGGCCCCTGTGCTGGCAGGAGCTCCTCTCCCCAGGGACTGCCCGTCCTGGCTCGGGCGCTGGGCGTATATTCGCCCAGGTCCCACCCCTCCTAACTCCCTGAACCAGGCACAGGGGTTGCTCCTTCAGCCACTAATCAGACCACTCCCTTCTGCTGCAGCCAACCCAGCTGCTCTGCAGTTTTAGGGCTTGTGGGCTGTGCTTCTGGGGCTGCCATAAAAGTCTGAGTCTGCTCTGCTCTCTGGCTCCTCATCCCTCGGGGAGTCACAGGGCTTGGGTTCCCCGTTACAGCAAACCCTGATCATTTTTATAGTCCGGCATTTTAACCTCGTCCTACCCCTTTCCTGCTTCCGTGTCTTCGGAGGTCTTTGACGAGCTGCATGTCGCACCCGGCCGTGAGGACAGCGGTGTGCAAGGATGGGAACTGACTTGCTGAACAACCAGCAAACACAACCACACCGTGGATTTTTGTTTAAGACAGCTGAAACTCTCTGGAAAATGCAGGAGGCGCCGAGTTATTCAGTGCTTTCTATTCTCACCTACATCTCCCCCAAGTCAGGCATGTTCCCATTCAGCGTGCTGCTTCCTGCAGCGACGATGGGGACAGCGGAAGATGTGGGGAGGTTTCCAGGAAAATGGAAAAGGAGAGGTGTTGGGAGGAGAAGACAGCGATGCAGATGCCAGGAGAGGTGGCCAGGCCGAGGATCTATCGGCTGCTGGGAACCAGTGTCAGGACCAGAAGCGGCAGACAGCTTGCACGTGAACACGGGTGTAGCCAGAGGTGCCGCACCCATCCACGGCTGCAGAACATCAGTGGTAAAACCCAGTTGAGCTGGGACCGTGACACCAGGGCTTCCTTCTCCGCTTGACTGTGTCCTGGTGCATCGCTTATCCTTCAGGCCCCAGCTTCTGGACAGGTTATTCTCTGAAAGCCTCATCTCTTTTGTAAAGAAGTGAGTTTCCATCCGGCTGGGCTGGCTGTGAAGGGGAGCCTGAGAAGCCAGTGCCCCAATGCCCCAAGCTGGGAAACAAACAGGAAGAACTGCAGAGAGCTCACGTTTAAAATCCTGCGAACTTGAAGCCAGTCGTGAGGTTTGGGGGACTTGCACACCAATGCTTTAAAGCGTTGGGTTGGCCAAACTGCCTCTTTCCCCGGCCCAGAGCCTGGGCCCTGCAGCCGCAGGGGAAGAGGACGGCCGCGTCGCACGGGGGCTGCAGCCTGGTTGCGGCGAGTCCACGCCGCGCTCAAGATACAGGGTCCCAAGGACCCCGTCCAACCCGAGTCCTGTTCACGTCAGCGGGAAGGTGCTGCCTCGGTTGTTTCCTTGCAATGAGAACGGGAAAAGCAGATGAGGAGGGTGCGTGCAGGCCACGACAGTTTGGGCAACTTGAGTTTTGTGCTGCTCTCCCCCATGTGCCACACCGAGCCAAAGGCCATGAAGGCAAAGGGGTTTTTCCGCTGGCTTCAGGGAATTTGGGCTTAGATCCGGCGGGGTTTGCTGCCTTAAATCTTTCAGTTAACTGCTGCCCTCCACTGTTTAAATGAATTACGACACAGTTCCTTTAAACCAGCCCGTCTTCTGTGTCTCCATCACAACACCATCTTTTGTTACCTTTGCGTTACTGAAATGAGTATAGAAATCATCCGCACCCACGCAAATACCTAGGAAAAAGCAAGGTTTCATTTAACGATATAAAAACTCAGGGTAAAATGCAGAACAAACAACAATCTCTATATAAATAAATGCAAAAATCGAGAACTCTTGGTTCAGAAATGATACCGTTTATTAGACCAACTAGGAAATTGCAAAAAATAATTCTCTTTCTCTGCAAGTTTTCAGGCTCAAACACCCTTCATCAGGCTTTGGGAAAATTAAAGGTGGAAAATTAAAGATGGTAAAAAGATGGTAAAAAAGCCCCCATAGGTAGGAAATCAACTTCATTTTTGCACTGTATAAATAGAAATAATGCACCGAAAAGAGAAGAGCAGCACATGCCGCCTCCGCCCACAAATCCTCTGATTCTGCAAACGCATACATTTGCATATCATTAACTTTATGGACTGTAACGTACAGTACAGTACAGATGACCAGGGACTCGATGTCCCTGGGGGAAGCCCCAGCACCATTCATCTTTGCAGGATTGAGGCCTGTGCTCTTATGGGCACTAACAACCCTTCCAGGGACACCCCGAGCAAGTCAGAACTAGCTACGTGGCTCCGGGAGCAAGAGGGAAGGAGTTGGGTGCACACGTAATGTTTTCATGGAGGGTAAAGCCCCAGGTAGAGATAAAAGGACTATGGAGGCGATGCACGGCTTTGCAGGAAACTATCAGCTTCTTTGAGCATCCGGCAGAGCTCCACGAAGGAGGAATGGTAGGGAAGGTGGGGTCCATCTATTGAAGACCAGGGAGAGTATCTTTGCAAACCCACCAACTTGCAAACCCAGTGAAGATGGCTTTAAACGAGGTGTGTTGGGGGCCAGGGACAGAAAGGCAAAACATGCTGATCTATAGGGCTGGACTCTGGAGAGGAAATGGGAAACCACAAGAAGTGCATAAGAGAGATGAGAGCGAGACGAATGAGGCATGGCAGCCAGGAGTACAGGGTACAAACAGCAAGAAGTGGTGGCCTAGGTGCATCTAGGAGCCACATTCGACCATCCCCTCACCTATAGACATCACACGCAGTAAATCTGCCTGGAGATGCTTGGGTAGCATGACGTGGGATGCCGACTCCAAAGTGCTCAGCACCACTGCCCTCGCAATGGTATCTGGCCTAGCACAGTATTGTCCTGTATGGTCCAGAAGTTGTCGCGCTAGAAAGCTCGTACTTTTAACCGTGCACTGAGACTTATAACGGGCTACACAACCTACACACCCCTGTCCTCTCCGGCATTACACCAAGTGATATAAGAAGACAGACCCTGGCATCATTATGGCGATGGAGGCAAGAGATGATGAAAAAACACCTTCTCCATCCACTGGTGACTGAAGACCCAAATAGGTGGAGGCTTAAAGGCCATAAGCCATTTCTACATGAAGCCCACAATCTCCTGGAAGTGACTGGGGATGCTGAATCAAGCCTATGGGCAGCAACAGAGTAGGCCAACTGCTGGAAAAGATCAGACCTATTTCTACAGCGTTTTTCACCAACACCAAACAAGTCCTTCATTGGGCACAACCTTGACAGAGAAGCACGAGTCAAGCTGAACAGACTGAGATCTGGACACGGATGCTTCAAAACAGCACGTTACAAGATGCACATCTTGGGCAGCCCCTTGGGTGAACGCGGGGTCCAACAAACAGCACCGCGCTTCATCGACAGCTGCAATCTGTACAAATGCCCAGGTGGGGCGGGTGCAATCTGCACATTGAGTGCTAATACCACAAAATGGCTCATGCGTGTGGAAGATGGTCTCTGATGCCACACAAATGAGAGAGATTGTGTGGCGGGGGCTAACTCGCATAGGAAGGAAGGGCGGCATAAAAAGGGAGGAGGCATTGGGTTGTGTGTCAAGGATGTACTGACTCGCTGTGCAGTGCAGGAAGAGAAGTGACAGGGACATTAGAAGGACAATAGGCTTCAATTCCCAACAAACTCAGGGAACTGGTGGGCAGGGTCTCTGGGGGAAGATAGTGGGAGAGAAAAAGGCAGGCAGGAGAGCTGGCGGTTGTTGAAAGAGGACGTATTAAATGTACAGAAGAAGCCTATCCTGACGCAGAGGAAAAACAATAAACATGTAAGAGGCCATTAAGGCTGCATCAAGAGCAGTTTTCTGCGACCTGAAGATCAAAAGGGAGTCACACACGTGGAAACGAGGGCAAGTAACTAAAGGCAAGTATCAACAGAGAGCACAATCGCGTAGGGATATAATCAGGAAAGGCTCAGGCACTTTGACTGTCAATTAGCAAGGGTCATAACAAGCTTCTGTAAGTATGTTTGCAGTGAATAAAAGTCTCGTCCTAGGCAAGGAGAGCAAATACTGCATGATGCAGCTAAGCTTGAAGTACTCACGGCCTTCTGTGCTCAGTCTTTACAAGAAAGATCAATTGGCATCAAATCCTTAGCAGAATTATTTTTCACATGTAGTAGGTTGCAGAACTGCTTAAAGAAAATTCAGTCAAGTATGTGCATTCAGGTCAGCAGGGTCCAAAGCTATTCAGCTTTGTATGCTTAAAGAACCTGTTGAAATAATCTCTAAACTATTAGTGATGATCTCTCCAAACTTGTGGAGGACTGGAAAAGTCCCAGAGGACCGGAGAAGGGCAGAGTGCCTCTCTTTAAAAAAAGAGAAACAAGAGGACTTGGGAATTAGAGAGCCTCGCTGAAGGATCCCTAGAAAAGACTGGAACAAATGACTAATTGATCACTTTGCAAGCACCTGGAAGATAATTAAGTGATAAAGGCAAGGTCTGTTTCTGTTGGTCTAGTCAACAGGGGCTTGTTAGGAGCAGATCGCATCGGACTGATCTAATTTCCCTATTTCAAGAGATGCCTGCTTTCCTGGGTAAGATGTGATATACTTGGACTTTAGTGAGTCTTTTGCCTTTGTCCCGTATGACGGTCTCAGCAGCAAGCTAATGAAGTGTGTTGTGGTGTAGTTGTAGCAAGCTAACGGTGTAGTTGTGATCATCACCATCACCTGGACGCCCAGCTGCTAAAGAAATCCCTTTTGACGACTCATTAAAATTGGTTGAATGTCAAACTTGAGAGGATATCAGGAGGAACGTGTGGGTAGGAGTCTATGACGGTCTGTCTTTCTTGGGCCCAGTTCTGCTCAATATTTGAATGACAGTTTGGATGGTGGCATGGGGAGTCCACTTCTACAATGTGTGGATGATGCTAGTGTGGTCGTGACAAACTGGAGGGAGGTTCTGAAACCAATCCGATGCAATCGCATACCGGCAAGCGCAGTGTTACAGGGAGGAAAGAGGATATAAATGGGAAAATACACATTGAGGAATGCCTCCCTGTGCAGCAGCAGACCCAGAAATGATCTGGGGTGAGGGTGGATGCACAAAATAAGAATAAGCCGGAAACAAAATGCCTTCAAAAAGCCAGGCCAGACA